AGTATTGAAATATAAAAAAGTAAGGCAACAGGGGTAGTATAAAAAATATAGGAGAATAGTACTATATTCCTGGACTGTGGAATACCTTGCTTAATATGGCAGCAATACCAAAAACCATACATGCTGATGTCATCAGACCCAACACCAGGTCGTGCGGGCGACGAAGTCCGTTGGAGTCAAAGGATTGAGAAAAAGACAGTTTGAGAAGTAAAGTGGGACCAGGGGGCCATCGTGATTGTGGAGGCTGCCGAAGGCCCCGAGCTCAGGGAGCCCACGCTATTTATTGGTAATCCAACAAAAAAACAGGTGGTGAGAATGTGGGGATCAAAAGGGCAGGTGCATGATCTACAGCTGTGACAGTTTAGCATTTATGAGGAACATGTTCTGCTACTTGAGATAATGGGAATACAATCGATCTAGGAGCCTAGAAGCAAGGAGCCAGCCAGTCCAGATACATTCCAGAGGACATTATGTCACACTTGCAAGCCCTGCCTCGGTTTTTTCCCCAATACTCAGCTTTTTCCCAACAATACGGAAAAAAAATTGAGAGATGTGACTTATAAAAAGTTTAAATTTCTGAGAAAAACAAAGCTTCAAAATTTCTAAAACTGGGGAAAATATATATGCGTATAGGACAAAAGATTAATACCTTTATATGTAAGGAACTTTTATAAATTCACAAGGGGAAATATGCAAAGGAAAAATCAGGCATTTTAAAAAGAAATATAAATAAGAGCTCCTTGAAAAATGATTGATTCCAGGTTGGGCACAGTGGCTCATGTCCCAGCATTTTGGGAGGCCAAGGCGAGCAGATCACTTGGGGTCAGGAGTTCAAGACCAGCCTGAACCACATGGTGAAACCCCACTCTACTAAAAATACAGAAATTAGCCAAGCATGGTGGTGGGCACTTGTAGTCCCAGCTACTTGGGAGGCTGAGGCAGGAGAATTGCTTGAACCCTGGTGGGGCAGAGGTTGCAGTGAGCCAAAATCATACCACTGCACTACAGCCTGGGTAACAGAGTGAGACTCCATCTCAAAAAAAAAAAAAAGAAAGAAAGAAAGAAAAGAAAAGAAAAATGAATGATTCCAGGCCAGGCATAGTGGCTCACACCTGTAATCCCAGCACTTTAGGAGACCAAGGTGGGCAGATCACTTGAGGTCAGGAGTTTGAGGCCAGCCTGAGCAACATGGTGAAACCCCGTCTCTAACTAAAAATATAAAAAATTAACCAGATGTGGTAGCCTGTGCCTCAAGTCCCCAGCTACTTGAGAGGCTGAGGCATGAGAATTACTTGAATCCAGGAGGCAGAGGTTGCAATGAGCCAAGATTGTGCCTCTATACTCCAGTTTGGGTGACACAGCAAGACTCTGTTTCAAAATTTAAAAAAAAAAAAAAAAAAAAAGAGATTCCAGATTTGGGGCATAAAATGTATGGGACAAGCCTGGAATATCTTGTCACGACAGTAAACAAGGAAGCTACCAAAGGGTAATGGGTTCATATCGAGACAACAATTTAAGCATCAAAGAGAAAAATGGCTGCAATGAGCTAAAGCTTGTGTTTGTTATTCCTTTGCATTTCTTTGGACATGGTTTTACTACATCTACTTGCATTCCATTTCTGTTCATTTACTCTCCAGATAATAGGAAGTCCCGTTGTTTCCAGATTTTTGCTATTTTTGACAGTGCTACTGTGAGCATTCTTGTATGTATCTATAGAATTTACACACACTTAGGATGAAATTTCTGAGTCTGTGGAAATAAATGACAACCCACCAAATGAGTCCAGGTAAAAGCTATTTAATTATGCTTGCCATAGCAAAGTGATGGTTTGCCACAGCATCACTTGTGTTTTTGTGGACACTCGAAAGCAGGCAGAGGAGTGGGAAAGCTTCATACCGGAAGAAGGGAAGGTTTCAGGTATGCCCAGATGAGAGGCTTTTGGTATAGAACATTGTAGACAGACTAACTAGAAGTGGGGCATCTTATGTGATTCGTTAGGAGTGCATATTCGACTCTCTCTAATTGGTCCTAAATTGGAAAAAGGGGATAAGAATTAGGGAAACTGCCAATTATTAATTAAGTCCTGGCCATTTGGGGCTGATTGCCCTCATTTGGCTTGCTGGACTGTTTTTAAGAGATTGTGGTCTGACTTCCTACAAGTCTGATTGTAGCGAGTAGGCTGGATGCATGGACTGGTTAGGATAGATAATAGGTTGGTTTCCTGGGATGTTTGCTGCAGTTTACAGGTGAGAGATCTATTTCTATGTATGATCTGGCCACTGTTCATTTGTATGTTCTGTCTCTCCATCTCTAACATGCCATATAATATACTTATTTATGATGTGTGTTGTCTACCTCCCATGACTAGGTTACTAGTTCCATGAGGACAGATTTTTTTTTAATACTCTTTTTTTTTTTTTGAGACAAGATCTCGCCCCTGTGGTCCAGGTTGGAGTGCAGTGGTACAATCTTGGCTCACAGAAGCCTCAACCTCCCAGGCTCAAGCGATCCCCACCTCAACCTCCCCAGTAGCTGGGACCACAGGCATGTACCACCATGCCTGATTACTTATTATTATTATTATTAGTAGTAGTAGTAGTAGTAGTAGTACTGTAGAGATGGGTTTCACCATGTTACCCAGGCTGGTCTTGAACTCCTGAGCTCAAGCAATCGGCCCTCCTCAGTCTCCCAAAATGCTGAGATTACAGGCATGAGCCGCTGTGCCTGGCCCATGAGGGCAGACATTTGTATCCATTTTGTTCATTAAAGCATTCTTGATTCCTAGAAAAGTGCCTAGTGCATCATAGATACTCAATAAATATTTGTAAAATGAGTGAATATCATGTATCTATAAAAATATTATGCTACCGATGCATATTTTTGGTTTTGCTGTTATCCTCACACTAAAGACTGTATCACTCGGATCCAATCCCCCCCATTAGTGCAGATGTGGTCCCAGCCCTTTCTCACTTTCGCGTGTCTTATTTTGCCCACCACAGTGTCTGATGCAAAGTTTGTGACTGCCAGATATATGCTGAAACAAATTCATCTACTTTATATTATTACCTGGTTCTTTTGATCCACATATTGATGCTGAAGCTGACAGGCAAGAACAAGAAATAACCGCTGAGTCAGCACTGTAGCTCTTCATCTTTTAGGTCCATATGGAAACACACTTGAGTCAGGCAAGAAGTGCCCATTTTTCCTGGAGCCTTGTGAAACCCTCGTAACAGCCTCTGTTTGGAAGCATCCGTGGTGTTACTATTTACTGTAGACTTTGAACTTGCCCCTGGACTAGCATCTTCTACAGTTCTTTTCACTGTAGCATTTCTCAAGTATCTACTTTCTGTGAGTGCTTCCAAGAATGGAAGAGAAAGAGAAGAGACCTCTGTGGTCCAGAAGCAAGAAGCAGTAAATCACCTTTCTCAGGCCCAGGGTGGCTGCCAACCCCACGGAGAAGTCTTCTGCCCCTTTCCCCATCTCTTGCTATCAACAGGGAACAGAGTTAGGATCAAAATTATAATGGATATCTCATTTTAAAAAGGGTACTACATTCTATAGATGGGTTTTTCAACATACACCATATGTGGCTTCACTTTCAGGGGACTCACAGATGTGGTCTGAAAGCCGCCCCTTGTGAATCTGCTATTTTTTCTGTTAATATATTCCTTACTTACTTGTGGATAGCAATATAATTAAAGTGGGGGTTGAGTGCATGGTAGCTCCACACCTGAATCCCAAACACTTTGGGACCCGTAAGGGCCAACTCACTGAGGTTGGGAGTTGGGAGCCAGCCTGAACATAGTGGAAATCCCATCTCCTACTAAAATGACAAGAATTAGCCGGTGTGGTAGTAGGCGCTGGTAATCCCAGCTATTCGGGAGCTGAGGGCGAGATTTGCTTGAACCCAGGAGCAGAGAGTGGCGTCAGCCGAGATCCGTGCCACTGCACTCCAGCCTGGGCAACAGCGAGTGAGACTCCATCTCAAAAAAATATATCATAATATATATATTTAAGTGGATATAGTGTTTAGTAGGTCACAACTTTTATGAATAATTTATTAAATATGACCACCATTGTATTTTGTGACATAACTGCAAAGACAATTAACTAGTACTGATGATAATTTTTTTAATTTCATTGAGCTGTAATTAAATTTTTAGTCTGTTAATAGAACTGAAACCAAAATAACAAGACCTAATAAGCTTTAGGTGTTGATTTCATCTGGCTATAGATGCTGAGGTAAATCTGTTAGAAAAGTTGAATCTAAGGGTAGAGAAAAAGTGATGAAATAAAATCTTGTTGATACAGTTTCTGAAGTTTTTAATTCAGATAAAGAGGATAATAGAAGCCAACAAACTTTACCCTGTGTGAAAACCTGTTAGGAACAGATTGTTCATGATTTCTTTTCTTTTTTTATTTTTATTTTTATTTTTTTTTAGACAGAGTCTCCTCTGTTGCCAGGCTGGAGTGCAGTAGCATGATCTCAGCTCACTGCAACCACCGCCTCCCAGGTCAAAGTGATTCTCCTGCCTCGGTCTCCCAAGCAGCTGGGACCACAGGTGACACCACCACACTCAGCTAATTTTTTGTATTTTAGTAGAGACGGGGTTTCACCATGTTGACCAGGCTGGTCTCGAAGTCCTGCTTAACCTCAGCCTCCCAAAGGCTGGGAATTACAGGTGTGAGCCACTGCACCAGTTTATTAGTGACCATTCTTTTTTTTTTTTTTTTTTTTTTTTTAAGATGGAGTCTTGCTCTGTCGCACAGGCTGGAGTGCAGTGGTGACATCTTGGCTCACTGCAACCTCCTCCTCCCGGGTTCAAGTGATTCTCCTGCCTCAGTCTCTCAAGTAGCTGGGACTACAGGCACCCGCCACCACACCCAGCTAATTTTTGTATTTTTAGTAGAGACGGAGTTTCAACATATTGGCCAGGCTGGTCTCAAACTCCTGACCTCAAACTCCTGAACTCCGCTCGCCTCGGCCTCCCAAAGTGCTTTGAATACAGGCGTGAGCCACCGCGCCCGGTCTATTAGTGATTATTCTAAATCTATCACAAACAAACATAGGGAGTATTAGTTTTCTAGATTTAATTGCATCTTTCCTTTAAACACATTAGAATAACAAAAGAAAGAAGGAGATGTCCATGAGCCTTTAATGCCAGTTTTATGTGGTTTATTGGGAAAATATTGTCTCAGGTTTACAGAAACAGAAAGCAGGAGCAGACATGCAGAATACAGAAACTACAGAATGAAGGAAAAAGGAATAGAAGCAAACATTTCAACAGTAAAATTTCAAGAAAACATAGCATTAAAAATATTCCTCTGTTTTGTTGGACTCATACTTTGATTGGTGCTTGATAGAGAAGGTTTGTGTTGGTGGTTTTCATGTGCAGGCAGGATGTCAGAGACCAGGGAATATGGATAAAACTTCTTGTGACTTTCATATCAGAGAAGACTGGCAGGAGGGAGAGAACATTTTATCAACAGGACAGTTAGTTACCTGCAGCACCTTCCCGGAGGCCGGGGACCTGCCTAGCAGCAGCATTGCTTCTGGCAGCAGCACTTCTGCTGGCAACAGCCCTTCTGCTGGCAACAGCCCTTCCCACAGCCACAGCCACATGAGCTGCAGGTGCGGCGGCAGCAGCAGATCACGGGCGTGCTACAGCAGCCCCCACAGCAGCCGCGGCAGCAGGGGCAGCAGCTGGAGCAGCAGCCCACCCGGTAGCACCTGCAGGTGGTGCAGCTGCCACAGCCACCACCACAGCCACCACCACAGCCACCGTAGCCACCACCGCAGCCACCACAGCCACCACCGCAGCCACCACAGCCACCACCACAGCCACCACTGCAACAACCACAGCCACCACCGCAGCCACCACAGCCACCACAACTTCCACAACCACAGCAACCCATGGTGTCAGTAGAGAGGACTCAGGTGAAGGGAGGAAGGAGGACTTGAGAGGTGAGCAGGTCTGATGCCTCCTTCTGCTGGGGGAGGCCCTTATGTACCAACTGTGGGGAGAGGAGAGGGAAGACACATGACCACTTCCTTATTATGGTTTGGGTCAATTGTCATGAGAGAATCTCATAATATATTATTTACTGCCCTTTGGAATGGGAGCTAGGTTTATGAGATTACTTGTTTTGTTTATTTTCTGAGTCGAATGTCCTAAAAATTCCAGTAAGACCTCCTGAGAGTCACGGGAAAGCGGGTATTATCAACAGCCTTGGGCACACTCAGAAAGCCCGTATAGTACAACAGCAGTGCTTGACTGGATGGTCCAACATTCAAACAACGAATAAACATTATCAGGAGGCTATTCCTGTACAGTGCCCAGAAATTATCTTACCGAAGTCTGGAGAAATGACAGGTGTCTCCGGCACAAATGTCACTGCCAACTGCAGAAGCAGCTGGATACTCTCCCTGGAGATTGTCCACCCCGAGAATGGAAGATTTGGTCCCCACCACACAGTTACAAAGCCTGGCTCTATGTTTCATTATTCAATATATTTAACATTGTGTTGGCCAGGTGCGGTGGCTCATGCCTGTAATCCCAGAACTTTGGGAGACCAAGGCGAGTGGATCACCTGAGGTTGGGAGTTCGAGACCAGCCTGGCCAACATGGTGAAACCCCATCTCTACTAGAAAAAAACACAAAAAGTTAGCCAGGCATGGTGGTGCCCTGACCTCCCAGCCTTAGTTCTTGCTTTAACTCACAGGCCAAATCATGGCTCAAAATGTTCTGCTACAGAAACTTCCAGCACAGCACAGGCTTCTTCTTTTCTTTTTTTTTTTTTTTGACACAGTGCCTCACTCTGTCACACAGATTGGAGTGCAGTGGCTTGATCATGGCTCACTGCAGCCTCAACCTCTTGGGCTCAAGTGATCCTCCCACCTCAGCCTCCCAAGTAGCTAGGACTAGAGGTGCATGCCACCACACCTGGCTAATTTTTTATTTTTTTGTAGAGATAAGGGTGTCGCTATGTTGCCCAGGTTCATCTCAAATTCCTGGACTCATGTGATCCTCCTGCCTCAGCCTCCTAAAAGTGCTGGGATTACAGGCGTAATCACCATACCTTGCCCCAGCCCAGAATATTTTACCTGACATGGGCATGATGCATCTTTGTTAACTAATTGAATAATAATTTTTTAAGGTAAATCTCAGGCAATAATATTGTTTCAAAATAATGGAGGCGAAAATGCTTTAGAAAGGGAAAACACTAAATATGAAAAGATTTGTCAACTTTGGCACTACCGACATTTTCAGCCAGATAATTCCTAGTGTGAGGACTGTCCTGCACAATGTAGAATGTTGAGCAGCATCTCTGGCCTCAAGCCACTAGTTATGACAACGTCTCTGCCAGTTATAACAAGCAAAAATGTCAGGCCAGGCACAGTGACTCACGCCTGTAATCTCAGTAATCCCAGCACTTTGGGAGGCCAAGGTGGGAGGATCACGAGGTCAGGAGATCGAGATCATCCTGGCTAACACGGTGAAACCCCGTCTCTACTAAAAAATACAAAAACTTAGCCAGGCACGGTGGCAGGCGCCTGTATCCCAGCTACTTGGGAGGCTGAGGCAGGAGAATGGCGTGAACCCAGGAAGCAGAGCTTGCAGTGAGCTGAGATTGCGCCACTGCACTCCAGCCTGGGTGACAGAGCGAGACTCTGTCTCCAAACAACAAAACAAAACAAAACAAAAAGAAGCAAAAATGTCTTCAGATGTTGCTAAGTGTCTCCTGGGGGCAAAATTGCCCCTCATTGAGATCCACTGCTCTACAGAAATATAAGGGAGAATACCCCACATCATAGCAGTCCGGAAAAGGATGCCAATTTAGGAATAGCTTTTGAAGGCTGCAAAAGGGCTTTACATGAAGTTCTTCTTTTCTTTTAATTTTTTGGAGACAATTTCTAGGACATACGATTCTTTTTTTCTTCTTTGAGACCAAGTCTCACTCTGATGCCCAGGCTGTTGAACCTCTGCCTCCCGTATTCAAGTCATTCTCATGCCTCAGCCTTCCGCATAGCTGGGACTACAGGCATGAGCCACCACCCGGTTAATTTTTGTATTTTTAGTAGACAGGGTTTCCCCATGTTAGCCAGGCTGGTCTCAAACTCCTGACCTCAGGTGATCTGCCTGCCTCAGCCTCCCAAAGTGCTGGGATTACAGGCACGAGCCACCACGCCCGGCGGGACATATGATTCTGAAGGGGTTAAGTACCTGGGGTGGTGAAAGAAGGCAAGAGTGAGCCTTGATGAAAGCTGTGGACTTTGGGTGATTATGATGTCTCACTGTAGGTTCACCAGTTGTAACAAATATACCACCCTGGCATGGGATGTCAGTAGTGAAGGAGGCTGTGTTGGGGAGGACAGGGGGTATAAAGGAACTCTGTACTTTTGGCTCTATTATTATTATTATTATTATTATTATTATTATTAAGATGGAGTCTCACTCTGTCACCCAGGCTGGAGTGCAGTGGCTCGATCTTGGCTCATTGCAACCTCCGTCTGCCGAGATCAAGCAATTCTCTTGCCTCAGTCTCCCAAGTAGCTGGGACTACAGGTGCCCACTACCACTCCCAGCTAATTTTTGTATTTTTTAGTAGAGACGGGGGTTGACCAGGCTGGTCTGGAACTCCTGACCTCCAGTGATCCACCTGCCTCAGCTTCCCAAAGTGCTGGGATTACAGGGGTGAACCACCGCACCCGGCCCTCAGCTCCATGTTGATGTGAACCAAAAATTGCTCTAAAAAATAAGGTCTTTTAAAAGAATATACATTATTTACCCTAAGCTAAGGAAACTGGGTCACATAGGGACCATGACTTTTTAAGGGACATGAAACCTGCTGGTGGCAGAGGCTCTTGGCTACCTCATCCACTACTCCATGTGTATAGGACGAGAGGGGAACATGAGCCAGTGCGGGAAGCTTACTTTGAAATATACCGTGACTATCAACCCAAGATGGATATCTTTACCATATTTTGACTTGTGAATCCACAGCAAAAGTCAGTCTGAAAACAGGTGAGAAAGTCTTCTGAGATGTTAGCCAAGGGACCTTATGACACATGAAGCTTTGCGAGTTTGCTTCTCCATGTGGGATCTCACCTTCTCTTGCATTCTGCACACAGCACCTGAAAACAGAAAAGGCTTCCTTTAGAGGAGGGGGAAACCAAGGGAAAGATCCTCTCGGGGCCAAGGAATTCTGATGCATGGAATATAGGAGATGGGCTTTCATCAAATGAGACTCATAGATTACACTTGCAAACTGCTAGGTTAAAACGAGACTAAATATTTAAGAAACATGTTGTTTTTATGAGAAGCGTAACTTGAGGAAGAAGTAAATGGGAAAATAAGCAATTCTATGAAGTCAGAGGTGTTCAATGAGGAAATACACTCAGGGTCTTGTGAAATTCCTCCAGGGAAGCTGGAGGAAACAAGGAAGTGGCCACCTGCCGCGTGTTAGGCCTGGAAGGGGTATTTAAGAGCCCCTGTAGCAAAGGACATCAGACCTCTTCACCCCTGCTGAGTCCTCCCTCCTCACTTCACGTGAGTCTTCTCTACTGACACCATGGGTTGCTGTGGGTGTGGTGGCTGCGGTGGTGGTTGTGGTGGCTGCGCTGGTGGCTGTGGTGGCTGTGGTGGTGGCTGCGGTGGTGGCTGTGGTGGCTGTAGCAGCTGCACCACCTGCAGGTGCTACCGCGTGGGCTGCTGCTCCAGCTGCTGCCCCTGCTGCCGCGGCTGCTGTGGGGGCTGCTGTAGCACGCCCGTGATCTGTTGCTGCCGCCGCACCTGCAGCTCGTGTGGCTGTGGCTGTGGGAAGGGCTGTTACCAGCAGAAGTGCTGCTGCCAGCAGAAGTGCTGCTGCAAGAAGCAATGCTGCTGCTAGGCGGGCCAGGCTGACTCTGCAGCTAGCCTAAGAAACGCTGAGGCTTTGCTCACAGAATTTGGTGCAACTTTCCTCCACCCTTCCTTTCTGCTTCTGTCCTGCCTCATCTACCCATATGTATTAGAACTGCTCATGCTGTCCCTTGCAGTCTGATGTCTCAGGTTGTTTTTCTTCCTTTGTGGTGGTATGATTACTTCAATTTCTTCTCCCTGTATCTTCCAAGACTTAGCATTATGTTATTATGCTATTGTGCTATTATGCTATTATTCTCTGTCGTTTTTGTAATCTTGTCTTCATTTGGAAAAAAAGATAAAAGATTAGCATATATTATCAACATAAGGGGTGGAAGCAAAGCCACTCATGTCAAAAATCTGTTTGTATTCTGAGCTTAACAAAATAAAATCGTGAAGACTAATATTTTATTCTTTTGAAAAATATTTCTTATGATGGATTTATTGTTGTTTCATATTGTACATTCACTAAGTTCTTTCCTGTTTCTGTGACCCTGTTAAAAAAAAAAAAAAGGCTACTCTTCCTTAATAAAAATAACAATCTCTTCATATTCTCAGGCGTCTCTCTGTTCTATAAGATGTGCACCTTGCATTGGTGAGGCCAACAAAGCAAAAGACAACGGGTGATATGTAAACATTTGGGATGGGTTTCAGTTAGTGGATGCCAGGTCCCATACTATCCTGTAGCAGATTTTACAATAAAGATAAAAATTGGGGAGTAAATTCCAACCTTTGGTCATCAGTGTCACTGACAGAAATTCCTGTGCTCGTCTACACATCCTTCCATGCTGTGGGTCCGTGTTGGGGTCAACGCAGTTTCCCCTTCACCCTCCAAAGGTTCACTGAAAACCAACTCACAAAAAAGGTAAATATGGCCGGGTACGGTGGCTCACACCTGTAATCCCAGCACTTTGGGAGGCTGAGGCAGGCGGATCACGAGGTCAGAAGATCGAGACCATCCTGGCTAAACATGGTGAAACTCCATCTCTACTAAAAATATAAAAAAAAAAAATTAGCCGGGCATGGTGGCGGGCACCAGTAGTCCCAGCTACTCGGGAGGCTGAAGCAGGAGAATGGCGTGAACCTGGGAGGCAGAGCTTGCAGTGAGCGGAGATCACGCCACTGCACTCCAGCCTGGGCGACAGAGTAAGACTCCGTCTCAAAAAAAACATAAAGAGTAAATTCATTAGAGAAAAGGCATACACCCAGAACTTTGGGAGGCTGAGGCTGGCGGATCACTTGAGGCCAGGAGTTCAAAACCATCCTGGCCAACAAGGTGAAACCCCATCTCTACTAAAAAGACAAAAATTAGCTGGGTGGGTGTGATGGCATACGTCTGTAGTCCCAGCTACTCGGGAGACTGAGGCACAAGAATTGCTTGAACCCGGGAGGCGGAGGTTGCAGTGAACTGAGATGGCATCACCGTACTCCACCCTGGATGATTTTTTAAAAGGTGAAAGCATAGAAATATATTAATATTTGCACAGGGAGAACCACACAGTGTATCCACCTCCCAACAGGGTTCAGAAGCTTATATACTGTGGGAGAAAGAAAGAAAGATCAGACTGTTACTGCGTCTATGTAGAAAAAGGAAGACATAAGAAACTCCATTTTGTTCTGTACTAAGAAAAATTCTTCTGCCTTGAGATGCTGTTAATCTGTAACCCTAGCCCCAACCCTGTGCTCCCAGAAACATGTGCTGTATTGACTCAAGGTTTAATGGATTTAGGGCTGTGCAGGATGTGCTTCAGTACAAATGTGTTTGCAGGCAGCATGCTTGGTAAAAGTCATCGCTATTCTCCAGTCTCAAATACCCAGGGACACAGTGCACTGCGGAAAGCCACAGGGACCTCTGCCCAAGAAAGCCTGGGTGTTGTCCAAGGTTTCTCCCCACTGAGACAGCCTGAGATATGGCCTCGTGGGAAGGGAAAGACCTGGCCATCCCCCAGCCCGACTCCCGTAAAGGGTCTGTGCTGAGGAAGGCCTCTTTGCAGTTGAGAGAAGAGAAAGGCATCTGTCTCCTGCTCATTCCTGGGAATGGAATGTCTGGATGTACCACTCGATCGTGCATTCTATTTACTGAGATAGGAGAAAACTGCCTTACGGCACATAGGCAGTTTATGTTTGGACTTTACACAAACTTCCAGTGCAGTAAGGACAGTTGGGCGAGCGCGGTGGCTCA